AAAACTTCGAACCCGGGTACGAGCTGCTGAAATGGGCTTTCTTAGACAAGTCGCTGACGTTACGCGTCTCAACATGGTCCGGAACGGTGACATCCGGAAGAGCCTTGAATTACAGCCTTTGCTTCTCCAGATTGAGAAGTCACAGCTTCGATGGCTTGGGCATGTGTTGCGAATGCCTCCAGAAAGGAAGGCTAAGCAACTGTTCCTTGCAGATCTGACCGACAAAAGGCCCAAGGGACGGCCAAGATTAACCTGGTGCAAACATATAGAAGGAGCCTGTTCCAGACTCCATTTGTCTTTTCCTGAAGCTCAGACTCTGAGACGGGACCAAGAACGTCGGAAGCTCTGACGTGTCTGCCTCCGCGACCCGAAAGGAGAAGCGGCGATAGAAGATGAAGATGATGAAGGGCTGTGAAGTTATGAGCGAACAGATAAAATCCACACTTATGGGCAATAAAACATTGGAAGAGGCGAACGAACCGAACTGAGTTGCGTTCACATCGAAGAAGTGTTCAGATATGACAACTTTAGACAATCGTTTGTTTTAATCCGCAATGCGGCGATTGAAATATCACAGGTTTTTTCTTTACATTGGAAGATACATCGCGCTGTGGTGATGGAAGCTTAAACGCGTCAAACGATTCCGAAAACATTCCCAGTAGTTATGAACCGTCCTTCGTCAGTTTGTCATATGCTCTCCTTCCAGCGAAGTAAAGAATCTGATTATAACAGTAGTATTGATCAGCCATGCTGTGAAGAGACTATGCGTACTTTCAAACGACCATTCGGCAAAGCATTTTGCCCGGACGAAGTTTTCGCGGATCTGTTGAAAAGTATGCGTAAGACTGAATTGCACGTGTTGTTTAACTTTGTGTAGGAAATTTGGTGATCTGTGAATAGTGGCGCTAAGCAGTGATTATTTTTATGCAAGAAAGTATGTTGCTGCAGGATGCTCCGAATTTACAGGAGAATTAGTCTCGTACTAGACCCTTATGGTCCCTGAAAGAATTATCGTCATCATAATTAAGCCTGAGTGAAAATGGTACAACAGTAAAATAAAGGTGCTTCCGACCGGGCTGATCTACCATTGACCAGACGCAAACAGTGCCTGCGCATTTTGCTGAAGACTCACAGCTGATACCTTAAACATTATTCATCAAGTTCGTCGATTTCGACGCAGCTGTTGATTCGGTGACATTGTATGAGCTGTTTAGAGATGACATTGTGATACAAACATGTTTACCTTTTACGTTAGGACAACGATTATGCTTTGAACATGCGGGCTTCATGCAGCTTTACAACAGCGGAGTACGGCAGGGGTCGGTTACCGAACTGATGGTGTTCAGTTAATGTATTGACGCCGTGATGACAGAGGCAGTTACGAACTTTGACAGTGAAGTGATAGTCCATCCATCTGGATTACGGTTACAGCGTGTCGATTATGCTGACGACATCACTGTCATTGTAGCGAAGCCAGAGGACTTCAAAATGGCACTGCCGGCAACACAAACAGCTGGTTATCTGACATACTGAAGCCATCGAAGTGCAAGGCTTTTGCTCCAGTGTGTGCTTTACAGGATGTCAACACCTTGAATATTTACGACGAAAATATGCAGTATATCACCAAGTTCGGTAATCTTGAATCGATTATAATCACCGATGGAAGGTATGAAGCAGAAGTTCAAGAAAGAAACAGCAGCTAAATTGCGTATAATAGCCACAGCTTCTGGGAAAATTTCTGGGAAGCTGCTGTTAGCATATAAGTGGAATTCTACGTATATCTGACAGCTGTTCAAAAGGTACTGGTGTATACCGCCATAACACGGACCCTTAACAAGAATGAAACAAATCCCCCAGATGTGTTTGAATGCAGAATGCTTGGCTGCAGACTGATTAATCATATCAAAAATGTTGAATGACTCGAGAATGCAAGAAAAAGCATGGGTGGAATATATCTGTCTAGCAGGTAATAATATCAGCTTTCCCAGTGATGAAATAAAGTAACTAAAACTCACTGCCGCCAAAATGACAAGCAACGAATCAGCATCATTCTTAGTGTCAGCATCCGAAATCATGCCGGAAAGGCCAATAGGTCA